TATATATATTATATAAACCTCGTTGTGTTGACCCTGTTATACTGCCAGCCCCGCTTACCGTCAGGTTTTCCCATGCACGAAAAGGTACGTCTATAAACTACTTATAGTATTTGCGCCTTTACACCATCATCCGCCGTCCACCCGGAGTTGCACAGTCCTTATTAAAGTAATGTAAATTTGCCCAGTTTTATTACCAGAAAATTGTCCGCTTGGGGTACGCATTAACCTTATACACGGAACACGGCACCTCTACACAGTGGCTATTTGATTATATCTCTTTCCCACACACGCCACTGCAATCTCGACCTATTTCTAGGCGCTTGCCGATTTTCTTTTGATTTGTTAGAATTATGAAATGCTATTATTTTAAGGCTTTGGCCAATATTTTTTGTTATTGGAAAGATATTTTTAAGTCGCCCCGCAGAAACTTCAAAGGAGCTGCACCAACGAGGCCTGAGAGTTAAGCAAAATATCTGACGTCATCAGGTATCATCAGCCCAATAACCAAAAGACTCGTGGACGCCTGTGAGAATTTCATACGATGAGAATTCCCGCTAAAATCTACATTGTAGGTCTAACGACTGAAGAGTATCGGGTAAAAAAAAGTGTAAAAAATAATTAACGTGTGCGTCTGCAGTCTAGCTTCTGGTCCTATCTCCTTTCAATTTGAATTTACTTAACCCTATCCGCACGCCCTGGGGTCATTTTGTACCCCCGGGGTTGTATTCTTTACATTTTAGAATACTTTTATGGCGAAGATCTCTTTGAAACTTTCAGCATTTCTCAAAAAGTCATTTTGACAGACTGCTATGAAAAGCGTACGGATCAGAATAACGAGTAACTTTTCTCTTTGGAAAGTGGTGGCACAGAGTTCCCCACGTCGTATGGATACGATAATAAAATACGACGTACGGCGAGAGCTGTATACGTAATAAGTTGCTTCTTATTTTTTCTCTGCGCATGTCTATCTCGTAAAACAAATCTAGATGAGGCAAGGATCTAGTCTCTATCAGTCTACCACTAATCAAGATGGCAATCGGTGGTATCTCGTTATACCGCTAGTCCCTCTGTACCGCCAGCTGTGAGCTCATCCCAGTGTAAGCAGGTTTACGAGGTATGTATGTATGTATGTATGTATGTATGTATGTATGTATGTATGTATGTATGTATGTATGTATGTATGTATGTATGTAGT